CCCTCAGCCCCCTGGGGGGTCAGCCCAACCATTTGTACAATTTTTAATCTCCACTACCGAGGGATGCTTCCAGTCAAATATGGTTGATATCCATCTCTTAGTTCAAGAGAAGTCGCTTAAATCAATATAGCCCAATTGCCCCTTTTTGGCCCCGCCTCTCAGGCCCCTTGGGGGCCAGACCCACAGTTTATACAAAATTACTTCTCCTTTACCAGAGGATATTTTAGACCAAATATGGAACAAATCCTTAATTTCCAGCAGAAAAAGGATTTTAAAGGATTAGCTATATTTCCCCTATTTGGCCCCGCCCCTCAGGGGCCAGACCCCCTGTTTATACAAAATTGGTTCCCCTTTACCCAATGATGCTCCAGACAAAATATGGACCAAATCCTTTCATTCCTACAGAAGAAGGATTTTAAAGAATATGCTATATTTCCCGTATTGGACCCCGCCGCTCAGGCCCCTTGGGGGCCAGACCCACAGTTTATACAAAATTGGTTCCCCTTCCTCCAAGGATGCTTCAGACCAAATATGGGACAAATCCTTTCATTCCTACAGAAGAAGAAGGATTTTAAAGAATTTGCTATATTTCCCCTATTGGTCCCCACCCCTCAGCCCCAAGGGGGGGCCAGACCCATCATTTATACAAAAACAATTCCCCTTCCCCTTAGGATGCTTCTGACCAAATTTGGTAACAAGAGATCCCAGAGGGATCTTGGCACCCACCTTTGTACCGTCTTCATTAGTTCTGTCAGTACGATCTTTTCTCTTCTTTCCTCTAATCTAATTTTGATCGAGTCATGTTAACAGTAAATGCACCTTGAGGTAACGTTTGATCTAAACTTAATACTGATGTGTATGTAAGCCAACCTTCAAAGTGAGTTTGTCATTTCAAATATTTACTAGTACAGTACTTAATGTGAAAGAAATAGAATCGATCATTGCAATATGAGAAAGATCTGTTTAGTTCTTCTTTTAATCCATTTTGTTTTTATGATCAGTCTCAAAATATAACATACACAGCGAGGTATCAAGGGGAACCTACATTTAAAATTTGAGAAAGATCCCTCTGATAGTTCCCGGGGAATAGCGATAACAAACTGTCAATATCAAAATCAAAGATGGCTGCCTGTCGGCCATGTTGTTTATTCGATCAATCTCAAAAGTTGCCCTGCACAGCTAAGGACCAAGGGGATTCTACATATAAAATTTGAGAAAGATCCCTCTGATAGTTCCCGGGGAATAGCGATAACAAACTTTCAATATCAAAATCAAAGATGGCTGCTTGTCGGCCATGTTATTTATCCGATCGCGATCAGTCTCAAAAAAATGCCCTGCACAGCTAAGGACCAAGGGGAACCTAAATATAAAATTTGAGAAAGATCCCTCTGATACTTCCCGAGAAATAGCGAGAACAAACTTTCAATATCAAAATCCAAGATGGCTGCCTGTCGGCCATGTTGTTTATCCGATCAGTCTCAAAAAAATGCCCTGCACAGCTAAGGACCAAGGGGAACCTACATATAAAATTTGAGAAAGATCCCTCTGGTACTTCTTGAGAAATACCGATAACAAGAAGTGTTTACGGACAGACGACGGACCACGGACGCAGGGTGATTTGAATAGCCCACCATCAGATGATGGTGGGCTAAAAATCTGCTCAGTTGTATGACAAGTAGCGATTTTTAGGAAAAGTTGAAGGACGCCACGCCATGGCATAAGCTCACTTGCCCTTCAGGCACATTTCTAGTGGTTCACGATAAGTATCAAAGCTGGAGACCCAAAAGGGATCTTAGCACCCACCATCGTTCAATCATCATTAGATTTATGTAAGTTTGATATTTTCTCTTCTTTTATCAATTAGATTGATGGTCTTGTCAATAGTAAATGCATTTTGTAGTAAATTTTGATTAAAATTTCATATGGCTGTGTTTGACAGTGTCCTAAATCTAAGTTAAGCCTATTACCTAAAATAGTTAAATGTAATATATATATATATATATTCCTGATCAAGCATCTATTCTAATTGAAGCTGAAAACAAATATGCAAACTGACGAACAGGAAGAATCGTCTTATACAAGGAAAATCTTCATATGGCATTCGAGAAATCTGTCAAATACTTCTTAAGAAACAAGAGGCCAAAAGGGCTTGTAATTGGTATGAAGTAAAGATATAGCATTCCATAGTAGGTGCTGTAAGTACTTGAGAAATAGTGAGAACAAACTTCAAACAGAGCCCCACCCCTATGCCCCTAGGGGGGTCATACCCACTGTTTATACAAAATTGAGTCTCCTTGGCCCAAGGATGCTCCAGACTAAATAAGGATAATGTCCCTTGATCCCGATGGACGTAAAGGAATTTAAAGGTTTTACCTCTATTTTTCCAATTGGGCCTCGCCCTTCTGCCCCCCCGAGAGACCACACCCACTGCTTATACAAAATTGAGTCCCCTTGGCCCAAGGATGCTCCAGACTAAATTAGGATAAAATCCCTTAATCCCTATGGTAGAAGAAAGATTTTAATGGTTTTACCTCTAATTCCCCTATTGGGCACTGCCTCTCTGCCCCCAGGGGGTTAGACACACCGTTTATACAAAATTGGTTCCCCTTCACCCAAGGATGCTTCATACCAAATTCAGACAAAATCCTGTCATTCTTACAGAAGGAGGTATTTGAAGAATTTGCTACGTTTCCCCTATTGGGCCCCACCGATCTGCCTCCAAGCGAGGCCACACTCACTATTTATGCAAAATTGAGTCCCTTTTGCCCAAGATCCTCCAGACCAAATTAGGAAGAAATCCCTTCATCCCTATGGTAGAAGAAGAATTTTAATGATTTACCTCTATTTCCCATATTGGGCCCTGTCCTTCTGCCCCCTTGGACACAGCACTCACTGCTTATACAAAATTGAGTCCCCTTGGCCCAAGGATGCTCCAGAATAGATTAGGATAAAATCCCTTAATCCCTATGGTAGAAGAAGGATTTTAAAGGTTTTACCTCTATTTCCTCTATTGGGCCCCACCCCTCAGGTCTTACACCAGCCGTTTATACAAAATTTGTTCCCCTTTACCCAAGGATACTCCACACCAAAAATGGAACAAATCCTTTCATTCCTACAGAAGAAGGATTTATTTAGGTTATATTTCCCCTATTCGGCCACACCAACCATTTATACAAAATTTGTTCCCCTTCACCCAAATATGTTTCAAACCAAATCTTTTCATTCCTACAGAATAAGAAGGATTTTAAAGAATTTGCTATGTTTCTCCTATTGAGCCTGTCCCTCAGGCCCTTTGGGGGCCAGACCCACGGTTTATACAAAATTGGTTCCCCTTCACCAAAGGATTATTCAGACTAAATATGGAACAAATCCTTTCATTCCTACAGAAGACTAAGGATTTTAAAGAATTCTACTATATCTCCCCTATTGGGCCCTGCCCCTCAGCCCCCAGACCCACCATTTATACAAAATTTGTTCCCCTTCCCCCAAGGATGCTTCTGACCAAATATGGAACAAATCCTTTAATTCCACCAGGAGAAGGATTTTAAAGAATTTGCTATATTACCCCTATTAGGCCACGCCTCTCAGCCCCCAGACCCACCATTTATACAAAATTGAGTCCCCTTTGCCTAAGGATGCTCCAGACCAAATTTAATCCAAATCCACTAAGCCGTTCAGGACAAGTAGCGTTTTAAAGGAAAAGTTGACAGACGGACGACAGAAGCTGCGCTATGGCAAAAGCTCACTTGCCCTTCGGACAGGTGAGCTAAAAATGATAACAAATTTAAACTGTCAAATTCCAAGATGGCTGCCATCATGGTTTTTTTTTTATTAAAGTCTCAAAAGGAAATATGCACAACAAAGGACCAATGGAAATCTATATATGTAATTTGTGTGAAATACTACATTTGTACTTACAATGTAAAAGTGTAAGATCGCTGATTGGCAGACATCTTATTCTTCTGATCAGTCAAAATTACACAGGCACAACTAAAGACCAAGGATAACCTAAATCAAAATAGAGATTATAAACTTAACTGTCAAAATTCAAGAAGATGGTAAAATAAATCAGATGGCCACCTGACGCATAAATCCCGACCTCATAATGGATTCAAAATTTACAAAAGGAGGGGCTGAGGGGTGGGGCCAAAGATGGTAATTTGGCTATATGTTTCTTCTCTGGAACTGAAATATGGAGATTCAAAATCATACAAAAGGAGAGGCTTTATAAGGGTGGTGCTAAAAAGGAGTGAAGCGACTTCTTCTCTGGAGCCAAGATATGGATATCAACCATTTTGGTTTAGACCAATCTTCAGTGGTTGAGGATGCAAAATTTGTACATATATTGAAGGGCAGACTCCTGGATATAAGGAGCAGGACCAAAAAGAATTTTTAACTTGGACAATGGACATTATTGAGCTTCCACCCTTTAACCATGTATACAATTACTGGGCATCGGGTGATATCACTCATGATATAAGAATTGACTCTTGGGTCAGGCCCCATCCATAGGGACTTAATTCCAGAGTCATAATTTTGAAATGGTTGAGATTCCCAACCAAAAGCCACACATGCCATTGCTAGGAATAAAGACACGGGGGTCTGGCCTCATCCCTAAGAACCTATTTCTGGGGTCCTAACTTTGAAACTGCTTAAAATCCCTACCTCATTACCATATAAACGATTTCTAGGAAATTCTTTAATTCTAATTGTAACTTAAATTCTTTTTATTGGAAAGCAATGGTGGAATAAAGTAAAAGTCCTATGTCGAGGAATTATTCATAGACAGTTAATTCCAGCAAAATGTTTTCTTATCGAAAAATATTAGGAAATTTCCAAACTGGAGCAAGACTGGTTCAAAGTCATCTGTATAAATCTGAGGGATAAGTAGCCCGAGTTTCCTCTGGCCCCTACACCAGACATCTATCTGCCAAAATGTCTAAGTCTGGTATCGATGCCAGAGGAAACTCGGGCTAAGGGGTAAGATGATAATGATATCATTAATAGATGGCATTCTTTGATCTTTGGACCTCCAGTTTCAATTTTTCAACAGCTCTCTCCACCATTTCAGCTTCAGTTCCAGAAACAAGTATATGATCAGATTTTGGGATATCCACTCGAATATTAGAACCTAGCTCTGATGTCAATCGTTTAATGTTCTGTCCTCCTTTCCCAATGATCATTGCACAAATTCTGGAGTGTTTTTCAGCATTCACATCTGTCAACACTTTTTCTGCAAAGGATAGATCAATTTCATTCTTTGAACTTTGGACCTCCAGTTTCAATTTTTCAACAGCTCTCTTCACCATTTCAGCTTCAGTTCCAGAAACAAGTATATGATCAGATTTTTGGATATCCACTCGAATATTAGACCCTAGCTCTGATGTTAATCGTTTAATGTTCTGTCCTCCTTTCCCAATGATTACTCGACAAATTATTGAGTGTATTTTAGCATCCTCATCTGTCAATACCTTTTCTTCAAACGGTAGAACCATATCGATTTCATTCTTTGATCTTTGGACCTCCAGTTTCAATTTTTCAACAGCTCTCTTCACAATTTCAGCTTCAGTCCCAGAAACAAGTATGTGACCAGGTTTTAGGGTTTCCACATAAATAGCAGATCCTAGCTCTGATTTCAATTGTTTAATGTTCTGTCCTCCTTTCCCAATGATCATTGCACAAATTCTGGAGTGTATTTCAGCATCCTCATCTGTCAATACCTTTTCTTCAAACGGTAGAACCATATCAATTGCATTCTTTGATCTTTGGACCTCCAGTTTCAATTTTTCAACTGCTCTCTTCACAATTTCAGCTTCAGTCCCAGAAACAAGTATGTGACCAGGTTTTAGGGTTTCCACATTAATAGCAGATCCAAGCTCTGATGTCAGTTGTTTGAAGTTCTGTCCTCCTTTCCCAATGACCATTCTACAAATTCTGTTGTGTTTTTCAGCATCCTCATCTGTCAATATTTTTCCTTTTGGTAACATTTCAATTCGTTGGACTTTTGTAAAGGGTGTTCCGCAGTCTGCATCGTTACCACATGCACGTGATACTGACAATGAACTTCGTTGTAAAATCATGTTTTGGAACAAGCATTTAACATTTCTACCAACATTGAAGCCTGCATACTGGTGTCGACAACTAATTAATCGACTATACATTCTTGCAATCGCAGCCATTATTCCAAGCGAGGTAATATAGCCAGTTTTGGTAAACGTTAAACGGGCGCTGTGCACGGTAAAGCATTAAATCGGAAGCCTCAGTTTCGTATTTCTTAACCGGAAAGTGTGCGAAAGTGAAAGTAGGAGTTTAATGGTTAAAGTGGTAGGCATTATAAAGTAGATGGGGGTAAGTGGTGGATGTTCCTATGTATTTCATAACTGAAGGAAAACGATACTTACAATTTAGTAATTGAAATGTTTTATCTTGATTTTCTTCACGGATTTCCTCTCAATGTTTAAAGAATTGTATTATTACTAGTACAAATTTACGGACAGGTTATGGACATTTATTAATTATTAATTGTTTCAGACTGGTTATAAACTTGTGTTAACTATAAAAAAACAACATATTAGGAACATTTATTAATTGTTTCAGACTGGTTATAAACTTGTGTTAACAATAAAAAAACACATATTAGGAACATTTATTAATTGTTTCAGGCTGGTTATCACAGACATATTAGGAACATATTTGTTATTTGCTGTTTCAGACTGATCATACACCTTTATTTATTATCCCAGACAGGCTGTGGATCTTTAATTATATTGCTTCAGATAAAATTGTTTTAACTATCACAGACATTAAGGAACATACTTATGTATTTATAATTCTATGTTCTATCAATATATTAATTGTCATGTTAAAGGAACATTAATTCATTGTTTCAAACTGGTTATAAACTTATATTTACTTGTTCTATCACAGACAAGAAGTAATATTTCATTATTTAATACATATATACAGATAAGTGATATTTCATTAGCAGGTGCATGTTCTTTAAAGTCTTTGAGATATTGATCACTAGAAATATTTTGTAGATACAATTGTATTTTGTGACCTAAAAGGCATTTCACACAAGCCAGATACATGGTAACAGCATGCACTTTATTACCCTTCAAATATAAGATATCATGGTAAAACAGATATCTATATAATGAAAGAAATAAAAAAATAAAAATCTATTTTCCATTCAACCCCCTCCCCCAAAAAACAACAATAGCAACTGTATATTGATGACAACAGATAAGTGATCAGTTAACCTGGACACTAAGATGCTAGGAGTATATAGCTGACATCAGGTTAGTGATAAATTAATCTGGACACTAACATGCTAGGAGTGTATAACTGACAACAGGTCAGTGATCCTGGACACTAACATGCTAGGAGTATATAACTGACAGCAGGTTAGTGATGAGTTAATCTGGACACTTACATGCTAGGAGTATATAACTGACAACGGGTAGTGATGAGTTAATCTGGACACTAACATGCTAGAGACACTAACATGCTAGGAGTATATAACTGACAGCAGGTTAGGGATGAGTTAATCTGGACACTAACATGCTAAGAGTATATAGCTGACATCAGGTTAGTGATACATTAATCTGGACACTAACATGCTAGGAGTCTATAGCTGACAACAGGTTAGTGATAAATTAGTCTGGACACTAACATGCTAGGAGGATATAACTGAGAGCATGATAGTGATGAGTTAATCTGGACACTAACATGCTAGAAGTATATAACTGACAACAGGTTAGTGATGTGTTAATCTGGACACTAACATGCTACTAACATGCTAGGAGTGTATAGATGACATCAGGGTAGTGATGCTGGACACTAACATGCTAGGAGAGTATAGATGACATCAGGTTAGTGATGCTGGACACTAACAGGCTAGGAGTGTATAGCTGACAACAGGTTAGTGATGAGTTAATCTGGACACTTACATGCTAGGAGTATATAACTGACAACGGGTAAGTGATTAGTTAATCTGGACACTAACATGCTAGGAATATATAGCTGACAACAGGTTAGTGATCCTGGACACTAACATGCTAGGAGTATATAACTGACAGCAGGTTAGGGATGAGTTAATCTGGACACTAACATGCTAAGAGTATATAGCTGACATCAGGTTAGTGATAAATTAATCTTGACACTAACATGCTAGGAGTATATAGCGGACAACAGGTTAGTGATGCTGGACACTAACATGCCAGGAGTATATAACTGACAACAGGTTAGTGATGCTGGACACTAACGAGCTAGGAGTATATAGCTGACAACAGGTTAGTGATCCTGGACACTAACATGCTAGGAGTATATAGATGACAACAGGTTAGTGATGAGTTAATCTGGACACTTACATGCTAGGAGTATATAACTGACAACAGGTAAGTGATGAGTCAATCTGGACACTAACATGCTAGGAGTATATAACTGACAACGGGTAGTGATGAGTTAATCTGGACACTAACATGCTAAGAGTATATAGCTGACATCAGGTTAGTGATACATTAATCTGGACACTAACATGCTAGGAGTCTATAGCTGACAACAGGTTAGTGATAAATTGAAATTGACACTAAGATGCTAGGAGTATATAGCTGACAACAGGTTAGTGATCCTGGACACTAACATGCTAGGAGTATATAACTGACAACGGGTAAGTGATGAGTTAATCTGGACACTAACATGCTAGGAGTATATAGCTGACAACAGGTTAGTGATCCTGGACACTAACGTGCTAGGAGTATATAGCTGACAACAGGTAAGTGATGAGTTAATCTGGACACTAACATGCTAGGAGTGTATAACTGACAACAGGTTAGTGATCCTGGACACTAACATGCTAGGAGTATATAGCTGACAACAGGTAAGTGATGAGTTAATCTGGACACTAACATGCTAGGAGTGTATAGATGACAACAGGTTAGTGATGTTGGACACTAACATGCTAGGAGAATATAACTGACAACAGGTAAGTGATAAGTTAATCTGGACACTAACATGCTAGAAGTATATAACTGACAGCAGGTTAGTGATGCTGGACACTAACATGCCAGGAGTATATAACTGACAACAGGTTAGTGATGTGTTAATCTGGACACTAACATGCTAGGAGTGTATAGATGACAACAGGTTAGTGATGCTGGACACTAACATGCTAGGAGAATATAACTGACAACAGGTAAGTGATAAGTTAATCTCGACACTAACATGCTAGAAGTATATAACTGACAGCAGGTTAGTGATGCTGGACACTAACATGCTTAAAGTTTATAACTGACAACATGTTAGTGATGGGTTAATCTTGACACTAACATGCTAGGAGTATATAACTGACAACAGGTAAGTGATGAGTTAATCTGGACACTAACATCCTAGGAGTATATAGCTGACAACAGGTTAGTGATGTGTTAATCTGGACACTAACATGCTAGGAGGATATAACTGACAACATGTTAGTGATGAGTTACTCTGGACAATAACATGCTAGGAGTGTATAGATGACATCAGATTAGTGATGCTGGACACTAACAAAGGTTAGGTATATAACTGACAACATGTTAGTGATGAGTTACTCTGGACAATAACATGCTAGGAGTGTATAGATGACATCAGATTAGTGATGCTGGACACTAACATGCTAGGAGTATATAGCTGACAAAAGGTTAGTGATGAGTTACTCTGGACACTAACATGCTAGGAGTGTCTAGCTGACATCAGGTTAGTGATGCTGGACACTAACATGCTAGGAGTATATAGCTGACAACAGGTTAGTGATGAGTTACTCTGGACACTTACATGCTAGGAGTCTATAACTGACAACAGGTTAGTGATGCTGGACACTAACATGCTAGGAGTATATAGATGACAACAGGTTAGTGATGAGTTACTCTGGACACTAACATGCTAGGAGTGTATAGCTGACATCAGGTTAGTGATGCTGGACACTAACATGCTAGGAGTGTATAGATGACATCGGGTTAGTGATGCTGGACACTAACATGCTAGAAGTATATAGCTGACAACAGGTTAGTGATGCTGGAAACTAACATGCTAGGAGTATATAGCTGACAACAGGTAAGTGATGAGTTAATCTGGACACTAACATGCTAGGAGTATATAGATGAGTTATTTTGGACGCTTCTAACTTGCTTCTGACCAGGCTCGAATATAGTCAGACACAAATGACCTGTTGTGTCGACTATTCCCTGGAATAATCATACTGGCTGTTCATATTCCTTATGTTGTTTATATTCCTTGTGTAAGCTAATGTGGTGGAAAACGGCGATATATTTCTGTAAATTCTAGGATCATTGCCAAAATATACACAAGAGACATCTTTGTAATTTGTTTTTATTCATTAAGTATTACAACAAAACAGTTTAACAAGTATAATAATCTATTTCTCCCGTAACTTGACAGGCTAATCATGTTATGTTACAGGAGAAACTAGATATCCAACTGCCAAAGGGTTGATCATGATTTACAGTGAATGCCCCTTAATGTCATCTTATATTTTCGTTAATTTCAATGTTTTCTAATATGCTCTAAATATTAGATGGAATTTAATTTGCTTCATATCATGAAATTTTGCCAAAAACTTCCTTAAACATCATTTTCTATTGCCTGTAGGTCAACATCTCAAACCTACAAAAAGGTTACTTTTCATATGCTTATCCTGATGATATGTAATAATTTCAATTCTATAAAAGTTATATAGGTATACAGACTTTTATACATTACATTAAGGATCCCTGTACCACTGCCAAAAACTGTAAACGGGATTGGAAACTGGATTTTCCCACATGACTATCACTTTGATAAATCATTTTTGAAAAGAAAACCATACCTTGCAGAACTTTTATGAGAAATAATACAGATGAAATGAACAAAATATAGTCAGCAACAGTGTTCTGAGTGTAAACATTCAGCGGGGCTAGACCGGGATTCAAACCTCCGACTGCTATACTATCACTCCAACCGATTGAGCTACCTTGTCATTGAAAGTGTTCTGCTCAAACTTTTCAACAGTTATATCCAAACCGAGGATATGGGGCGCTTACTGCATATAGGAACAAGCTGATCCATTGAAAAGTACTCGAGATATCGAGAGACTGTTGGATATTGGATGTTATTGAACTTTTCCGGGCTGTTACGATAATGAACCTTCTTATTTAGTTTGAATAATTTAATCTGTTGAAAATTAATGAAGATATCAAGCTGACACCTAGTGCAACTGCCAACCAATGTGATAACATAATACGACCTGTCTTTCAGCGGGCATATAAACCACAGTGCAGTGGGACAGAGATCCTCAAAATTTTCACAGAAAAACAATATTCCTTTTATAGTCTTTTTTCCACTTTATGTCCCATTTACTCATGGCAAACGATGTGTGACATTAAGAGGCATACAATCTATACTTTGAAATGTTCTCAAGTACAGACTCCTTGCTGAATACACAAGAATTAGTCAACAAGAACAGAAATAAATCACAATCAATGTGGTGTTGGACATTTACATAATAAAAAAAATATTGAGACTCTGAAAACATAATTGTCATCTCAAACATAACTCCACTATGATGCATATTATCAATGTTGAACAAAACAGTTCATAAAAACTCATATAAAACATGTAATGATATTGTTCCCATCACAATCTGTAATTCTCTAACACAAATATTTTTGTCTATCTTAGTTCTAGATCTGAGAATCACACACTTTGCAGTCGTCTACGTATACTTTGAAGGAAGATTTTCTGAGAAAATGTGTCCAAACTTAGCCCACAGAAATTACAGTTATTATAAACATGTGTTCAGTAATTGTTATTACAAAAGCCGAAATTTTATAGCAACAAACACTGCAGTATGCGTACTTGAAACAATCAATCTTATTGACAATGGCCTACCTCTTGCCTTGTTGTGGAAGATTTGAAAGATCTGAGAATTTCAAGAAAAAATATTTTCAAAAGTGTGTTTAGAAGAAACTTCTGGAAGGAGAGGACTGCAAATCATGTTGTTCTCTGGAGACGTCTAATGACAGAAAAGACTTGTTGACACGTAATATTTTTGGCGAGAAGAATGGGATTGTTCCATAACAGGACGTAGCTCAGACCCACCATGACATGACTATGTATTATTTCTATGGCAAAATTACTTATGATTCTGCTGTTTTGTCTGTTTAAATCCACTGTCAAAGTGACCTTCTTGCCTATAGATGGGTATAAAAAGTAGTTAACAATGAAATTGATCAGATAATCAGGCAAACATTATTCAAAAGGAGTACTGTAAATCAATAAAAATATCAAGATTGATCACCACTTCAAATGGAATGATCGATGATAAACTAATGATCGATCAACGATACATTAACCCTTTCACCACTGTGAACCATCATTGCCTCATGCAGATCAATGTATGGTAGAGTTTACGAAAGTTACATAGGGGTGAAAGGGTTAAGGATCAACTAATGATTGATTAACAAATTTGGTTTTTACGATATGACAAATGTGAGATGAAAATCCTCTTACATAGTTGTTTCAAAAGCATCACAATTGATATCAGAAAAATCCAGTGAAAATATGTTGAAATGCTTATATATGTTGAGTTTAAACATATTTTATTGACAACATTTTGACAAAGGGATTAGTCGGTAAGTTTTTCCAACTTCTCCCGGAAGTTTACAGTTTACAGTAGTACATGTATATACAGTTTTATATATGTATGTTGTGAGTGAATGGGGAAATACTTTTGGCCCGTGACTATCCAATTAGGGTTCATTAAGAATCTCCCATTCACTGGAATTTGTTCAAGTGTATAAATAACATGTGAAGACCTGGTATTTAACAATACAAGTATTTTCATAGTACATAAGGGCGCTCCGCAATTATCTGTAGGGGAGGGGTGGGAAGCACTTTTTAGAGACCCCACCACCCATCAAATATTAAAATTGATTTAATATAAGGAATGGTAGGCAGATTTGGTTTTAACCCCACTACCCATAAGTACTATGTTACCAGTACCAGTGATTAAATAAAAGATACAAGATTTAATAATACCTGGTACGGTACAAGTGTTTCCCCATTCTATGAATAATGAAAACAAAAGTCACACTTGATAACTAAAGAGGAACATATGGATTGACATTAACTATGAAATTAAACAGTACAATACCACTTTCGGTATTATAAATACAGTAGAACATATTCACTGTGTCCCAACGCAAAACAATACCTCATGAACATCAAATCTATATTTAAAGGAAGTTTGGCAATACTGAACTTGTATCCGTTTGGATTCATTAAAACCAGTGATTTCTGTCGAATTTTGTTCAGGCAGGTTATTTTCAAAGTGTTGATGAGTTCCATTTAACTAAGATATTTCGGGTTCTCAAAAAGTCCCATAGAAACAGCAGGAGTCCGGAAGTCAAACACAATCAGTAATTCATTTCTTTTCTTAATTAACTCTTTCTAAAAAATAATTACTGTTTACTGGGAAATTTTCGCTGCAGTTAAACTTTTGCCTTTTTGCCCTCCCTAATGAGGGCGAATATATCATGACAGTGAACATAAAATATACAGTAATTACATGTAAAGGATGAAATTAACACTGGGTGGACATGGATTTTATCGGCAAAAGGCAAATATCTGACTGGGCGAAATTTTCCCGGTATACAGTAGTATACAATACCTATTGTGAAAGGAAGAACAATAAGTCTGAAAAATAAGCTTCATCTTCTTCTTATTGAAGACTTCTCTTGCCATGAGTTTCTACGAGCAAGACAAGGAAATGTTATTGATAACATGCTTGATAATCAATATGATCACAGAAATAGTTTTAATATTGTTAACAATGATCCTCAAACCCATTCTATCATAGCACCATTCTAGACATCAAGTTGGAAACTGGGACAAATAAGTATTTGACATACCATTTTAGGTTTCCATATCGTTTTACCTTCCCACTCCACCTCCCCCCATGATAAATCATATCATCATACTCTCTTTAATTCCAAAAAAATTTACCCTCAGGTAGAATGTTTACAACTGATATCAAACACATTGCATCTATAAAAATAGTCACATCTACAGTAACTTTGCCAACAAGTTGACATGAACTGATCTATATTTAGGATACCACAAATCAATATCACAAGAAGTCAATGCTATTTCAAAGTGATTTAATTGAACCGTTTCGCGGGATATTATGATAACCAATTTCAATCAGATTTATTCAATATATTATCACAACCTTTAAAGCAAAGCCCAAAACTTATCAAATCTAATGATTTTCCTTTCTTGGAGATTTAAAAAAAATGTATTGCTGTGGTCCAGATCTATCAAATTCTTAATTATGTACAAGCAGGTATATGTTCTGAGAACGAATAACTGAAGGACTGGAATCATGTATTCATTCAACGCCCATACTCCAGGGGTTATGCTCACTTTCATTCTCTGCATCCCTGGAATATGTCATGGCAAATTCAAAGGCACACAGTTAGCTTTTTGATTGGTTTCAGGTAAAAAACATAAACCCGTCGCTATGCGGATACCTACCCTTTGAACATAACAGAGTGACGACCGGCATCAAAGCTAGTCAGTTTTACCAATAGAGTGCTGTGCAATTCTTTTGATGTACATTAAAGGATCAAACTAGTCTATTTGTTTCATCCACTTGGTGGTGGGTACAGTCTTTAATTCGGCATGACTTATTCCAGGGGTGCAGAGAACACATGTGAGGGGTAACCCCTGGAAATTTGAGTATGATTTTCATTAGGAATATGACAGCTTAAATGCCTGTGAACTAGATATTAATGTGTGTATGGATTCTTTGTTCCACTGCATGTTTCCTCGACAACAGATACCATAACTTGTCACAACAGTAGTATTTGTATTGCACAAGTGACTAGCCTACACATCAACAGTGTAGGGTATAGAAGGTATACCACTGCTGCGACCGTCGGTACAGCTCACCATAGTCCAAACGACGGGCACTGAGGGACTAAATCTCAAGGATCTGTAGGACAAACATGTGAAACAACATCAGCCGTCATGATTGTATGCACACACAATTGATCACATGCGTCCTCGACCATAAGTGAATCACATTAGCCCTCTACTGTCCATGAATCACTTGGACTCTTCAAAAAGTAAAAGTTTTGACATTACACTGTACAAACTAGGCAATTCCATATGTGTTGATAATAACTCCACTTCTGTCATCCCTCCTGCGTCCGCCTCCTCCTCCTCGCCTACCTCCACCGAATCCCCCATATCCACCCATGAAGTCGTCATCACCTCCTCCAAACCTGCCTCCTCCCCTGTCACCTCCAAACCGACTGCCTCCACCACTGGCTCTCTCTTCATCACGCTTCTTCTTCTGCCTTTCATACCTTTCTGCCATCTCGTAAAGTTCTGGAGGAATCTCCTGAGGGATAGAAATACATGTTCTTTACATGTTTCTGACTAATACATGTATCTTGTCCAGGTGATCAAACAGTGTCAACTCTAGACGTCAGCATGACATTGACATGAAGAAGCTCAATACACAGTAGCAAAATATTCTTATTATATGGCGAAACTTAATCCACTATAGAGAACATCAGAAATGACATATGAACAATGTTTCTAGAATCCCTTCATATCATTTAGCTGTAATCTCTATATGTATTTTTATACCAGTACTGCTTTGAAGCTGTTGTGTTGTGTTGTTTCTAGACATAAAAAGCATCAGCCTCAATGCAACGTTTAACCAAGTTACCTGGTTGGCTTCATCCATAATGTCAATCAAGAGTTGTGCTGACCTCCAATCCTTCCTGGTCATCAGGGTCAATGAGGTGCCTGTTTTTCTGTCAAAAGCAACACAATCCATAATCAAGCTAACCAACAGCATTTCAAAATGTGTGTTTTGTGGTTTTTCACTGAACAAAGATGGCACAATTCAAATAAGAAACTTCACAAACTCAAATCATCACAATTCCAAACTTGTATATTGTTTTTGTATTTCAAGGATTCTCAATAATTTTTAATTCAAACAACTCGTCTCAGAGCATTCAAACTCATGTATAAAACAATGAATAAAATGAGTATATCTTATTGATTTGATTTTTAATTTAAAACAAATTCACATCACTTAATGGACAACATTAGAGAGTAGTAGATATCTTGGAAACTATACATGTACCTGTTACCCATGTGTTGTCACTGTTATGTATGTCAGAGGGGTAAACGAGTATTCGTTTAGGAGCTGTGTTGTGTATGTACCCACCTACACAATACTGAAATCTGGTACTGACTGTATATTCTAATAGAAACAAAAGTGATTTCTTGTGAATTTCTTCTACATTGGATTGTCCAGAACCTGAATATTTAAGGTCTTACCCTGCTCTTCCGGTGCGGCCAATCCTGTGGACATATTCTTCTATATTACGGGGAAAGTCATAGTTGAAGACATGCCTGAAAAGATGAATATCATTGGTTTATCCTTTTACATGGATCTCATCCTCTGCCTTTTCAAGTCTCGGGCCAAATAAAACAATAGCAATGTTCCTGTACCTTAACCTGCCCTTTCTGCCCAATTTTGACAATTTCAGTATAAAGCACTAAGTTTTATACTTTGTAAATTCTTCATCAATATTTCAAACAACAAAAATCTGTTTTACCTTACATTTTCAAAGCTACCACCCAAATATCTGCAAACACCATGAACTTCATTCATATTTGGCAATTTACTGGTCTTTATATTTGCCAACCTATTGGTCCTGATATCTGCCAACATGTTGACCATAGTATTTGCCCACCTACTGACAAGAATACCTACCAATCTTAATATTTGAAAACCTAGTTAGGGCCTCTTTATTTATGCTTAGCAACCGATTTGTGTGTTTTCAAATGTAACATTTTTGGGAATCAATCCTGGCAGGCCTGCAAATGTGTATGCGGGCCTTGCAAGGCTTTGTCAAGGCTCGCCTGAAAGTACCATCAGATTACTAGGTCCGACCTTCTTTTATAAACGAACAACTCTTGTCGAACCGGTCCAACGGTTTGGATCGCAATAACAAAAGCAGCTTTACAGACTCTGATATTTGTCAAATGCTCTTTTTATACATGTTTGTTGATGTAGAAATCTACATGATGAAAAAGAGCTGAGAGCTGATGTACATACGTAATATCTTTCACATCTAAACCTCTTGAGGCTACATCCGTTGCTACAAGGATCTTGACGTATCCAGTTTTGAAGTCCTCTAGTGCCTGTTCACGATCACATTGTTCTCTGTAGATGAAAATAGAGGTCAGTCAGTCTACATCTATTCATTATTCACAATTCAACAAAGGAATCAGTATGGGCAAACACCTTTATGGGACACTTATTGATGACTTTTAAATAATTTCCTTCAATCACAATTCTAAAAAAAAATCTGTATTATAGTTAAGTCTTTTTCAATTCAAAAACCATTTATCTGGTTGTTCTAAAATCCAGCCATTGTCTCTTTTTCAATTAAAAATGGTCTTATGATCAACTTCAATTTCTAGCTATACATGTACTATATACCATTTGTTTTTATTCTGAATAAGAAAAAAATGGCAAGCTTCCTTTGAAGGAGTTAATTTAATAAACCTGCAGTTTTTTTTAGAAGAGTTGAAAAAATTCGCATTAGGAAAGTAAAGGACAGGAAAACAGATGAAAATGATGATAGTCACTGAAGAAAGATTTATGACTATAAGATAAAAGAAAATATCATCAATTAGAATGACTAGAGAAAGCAAGCAAGGCTTAAATACACACCTACCCCCTACTTGACTATGTGTTACTACATAAATATTCCTGTAAAGAGCCATGCATTGTCAGATGCATGTGGTTTAAGGAGTAATTTCGTAAATCATATACCGGGGATATTCAATTTACGAATTTGGGCACTAGAGTGATTACAAGCCCTATTCTGAAAAAAGTCCTCTGAAAGGAACCTGGGACCATTAGCAACCATACTCATAAGAGAATGTCCAAGGCAAAACATGTGTAAAATTTGATGAATATCTGATAAGAAATATGACTGCTAGAGTGATGACAAACAATTTCCCTGTAAAATTAATGGAGTGGATTCCCTGCATACTGATTGGTATCCCTTTTCAAGCGAGCATGCTACTTCCGGACTATACTTATACTAGATAGGTTCTTCTTCTCACCTTTGTCGAGACACATAACTTTTGTTACAAAGTTCCCTCCAGCCAAGTCAGTAATAGGTGACTAGATGGTTCACCACTGTGACACATGTCTTCCAATAAGAAACAACTACTCACCTGTCACCATGGATACACTGGCAATCAATACCACTGAGGGAGAAATCACTAGACAGGTCATCAGCCCTGAAACATGTTTAGTACACACAGATGAAGTATAGTGTGGCAAACCTGATGTATTAAACAGTTACTGTATTCACTATAATTTGCTTTACATTTTTTAGATGAAAGACATATAGTTCACCATATAACCCTGTGAAAAATGAACTCATGTATTACTACATCAAACTTTGTCAGTTGTAGTAACTAGAACTGTCGCCTATAGGCGTAATAATACCCACCACATTCTGGCTGCTTGTCGCCCCTGTAGGGGCTAAACAAACAAGGGAAAAAATGTAAAGAAATATCAAGGGTCATGAAAAAGTCTAACCTCAGATGTCCTATTGACAGACCGATGGAAAAGACAAACACCACTACTGTGACCTTTGACTCAATGACCTCGCAATTTTGTCACAATGTAGCTTCCATCAATGCTACATTTATTCCAAGGTCTGTGTATACAAAATACCTACCATTTCTGCCATAATTAGGTATCTACTGTTTCCGAGATAATTAGCCATTTCGGTAATGTAATTCATTCGTGACCTTTGACCTCTGATCCCACGACCTCAAAAGCTGTCAGTAGAGTAGATTGCATTAATGCCTACAATATTTTAAGGTATAACGTAATTCATTCGTGACGTTTCACCTTTTAAAGCGCGGATAGTTGAAACCTGACAAAAAAACCTGTTATATATGTTGAACATTATTGCTTCTAGTATTACAATACCAAATTTGGATGGAATTGAATACAAAATTTCTTGCCTTTTCTACACAATGTCATGGTTTAGAGAAGATTTATGAACCAAGGGCCATAACTTTGTGAAAAGGGGAGATAACCCAATGAAAAACACTTTACGCACATCCTCCAAGCTGCAAGGATTGTTATCAGCAAATTTCATTGAACTCCGTCTAGTAGTTTAGGAGGAGTACACGGTACTATATTGCATCCAAGGAAGGACGGACGGAAACCTGATTTCAGTAATTTCTAGATACCAACAAAGGTACATTCCCTGATTTTATTCATCCAGTTTGTATCAACTAAATATAGGACACGTTTTTCATTATCAGTGATATCTGAAGATTGTTTTTCATTTTAGGACAATTAATTCATTTAGAAAACTTACAGCACTTTCCTCCCAACAAAGATGATGACTTTGTCATCTGGCTCCATCTCGTGTTGCACAAAGTACACGACCTGAAAGTAACAACTATAGCTGCTAGTTTATGGCTTTAACATGTCTGAAAAGACAATTGTCTCTACCACTTGAGAAAAGCGAGATAGAGTTATGAAAGTTAAACTAACCTGCAGCTATTGGCTACAGATGTATTTTTGAAAACCTCTATTTCTGTAGAAATACGTGTAACTCAAAATCAAACTGTTTACACTCAATCAGCATTTCAAATTTGAGTGGAGGGTGGTGGGGTTGGGAATGCCGTTGGGGTTACAATACGTTGTTTGGGTGTTGCAATGGAAAACGTTGTTTGGGTGGTACAATGGATAACGTTGTTTGGGTGGTACCATGGAGAACGTTGTTTGGTTGGTGCAATGGATAATGTTGTTTGAGTGGTGCAATGGATAACATACTCACTTTTCACCAAGGGGGTGGGGTTTTGATTCTCCGATTGGATGCGAAAAGGTATGGGGTCACCTACCCAACCACATGGGTTTTCCCTGGGTACTCTGGTTTCCTCCCACATTAAGACCCCCCGGGCGTTAACATTTGGGCCAACAATAATTATTAATAGAAGTTGAAGTAATTTGTTTCAAAGTTGTTGTAAAATAAATAAATAAAGTTTATTTAATACGTTATTTCTGAGATACAAGTATGATATATACATGTGATATGGCGGTCACAAGCTATATCAAGGGGGCATAAAGAATAGATCTTTCGATCCATGTGCGACATGTGTGTGAAAGTGACGATTTTTTTATAAAATATCAGTTTGATGTGCGACCCGGGCAAGGTCGCTTATTTCCCGCATATTATAGAGGGCCAGAGTTCTGACGTTAATCGACGACAGACCGATATAAAAAAAAGTTGATAAAACGTCAGAATAATTCGGACTAGGGGGGCATGCACTCTCCAGTGTAGAACTAAATCAGTAGTAGCAAACTAACATCGTCAAAGTAAAACATTGATAAATTTGGACGAAAAAGGCTCAATTGATATATTCTTCTTGAAAGGGATATCTGCTGACAAGTACCCTGTTGTTAGATATGCAGTCTGGAGCCACATAACATTCTTTTTTGCATATTCTTTTGTACTGGAAGTACCCATGCCGCCCCCCCCCCCNCCCCCGCCCCCTGGAGAGAATGACAGTTCTTACCCGTTCTTTCTTTTCTTCTTCATCTATTATTTCCACAAGTTGTTTAACACTGTGGACAGCCTACAATGTTAACAGGAAAATAATTAACACCAATATTATACTAGTCATCAATATAACATATGGAAAACATAAAAAAATTACAGTATCACATCTTATCTCAAGCTGTTTGTTCCAATTCTTTGATTACATTTTTTAATACGTATCTCTTTTCCCCCATACCTTCATCACAATAATAATAATCCTGTTTTCCTCTGCAATGAAAGTTATCTTGAACCACAACATCGAACAATGCCCAACACATTACACATTTCTTAGGAATAGAATTTTATCAAAACACTTCACGATTACCAAATAAAACATTGTTTAGCTATTTCAACATTTCATGTTTTTAAGGGTTTATAAGAACGTTGCTTGTTTATCACATTATACAGATTTACTTACCGCTAGATCTAGGGAGCCCACAAATACTTGGAATGGATCTTTGAGGTAGGCATCAGCCAAGCGACGTACACCTTCAGGCCAGGTGGCACTGTGTATGAAGATAATTTGTAGACGTATAGTGTAACCTGTCAATAATGAACCACGTTTAATCCAGAAACCTAGTAACCTGATCCTCTATACTCCAGGGGATAAGCTCACTTGTGCTCTCTGCACTCCTGGAATACGTAATAGCAAAATCGAAGGCTCAGTGTGCACCATCTTGTTGATGAGATGAGAAGACTAGTTTGATCCTTTAATGAACATCAAAAGAATCTGTTGGTCGCATAACTGTTAAATTGACTGTTTTTGAAGTTGAGTGTTGCTCTTCTCTAACCTTCAAAGGACAGGTATCAGCCTGGCTATTGGTCAGGTATTTTTTACCCGATACCAATCAAATAGCTAGCCATGTGCCATATATTTTGCTATCACATGTTCCAATGGTGCAGAGAGCAGTGTATATTTCAGAAACATACAAGTATTATATGCATTACATATGAAGTCAAACAGTCTTTTTTAACATCTGAAGGACGTGCCAGGTTTTGGTGGTGGAGGAAAGCCAGAGTTCCCGGAGAGAAACCACCGACCTACCGCCAGTACCTGGCGACTACCCCACATAGGTCTCAAACCCACGACCCAGTGGTGGAGGGCTAGTGGTAGCAGAATGTCAGACACCTTAACCACTTGGCCTAGGACTTGGGCTTCAACGATACAGTAACATGATACTATATGTATAACAATACTGTGGTCACGATACGATACATATCACGATACATAGAGTAACAGTAGAAGCAAAGACAAAAATATATGTTGCAAATTTTTAATGGCATTATTACAACTGGAAATAGACTTGGTCCCGAATTGTCATGACTTTAAAGTTTCAAACAATTCAAGTCTTTGGACCTACATGCCAAGCTGGAGCTGTCACTCGCCAAGTTGGAGCGGGAACAAGTTGACCAAATTCAGAAACGACAAAAATAGGAAAATATTGTAGGTGTATTGTGACCTCCCAGAACATATTGTGTATTTTACCGTAATAAAAATATCACGATATACCAAGGACACACACTTTAAGGAATGCCCAGGAACATGGCATAGCTGTGTGAATAGTTTACATATTAGGGACAAATTTTATATAAAAAAAAGAAATCTACGTATTACTTCCAAATGCAGTAGATATACCTTCAAGAAAACAACCCGGCTTACCTTGTCATGACCGTTTGTCTATCAGGACGGATATCCAAAAGAATCTTTTTGATCTCTGGCTCAAAACCCATATCTAACATTCGGTCTGCCTCATCCAATATCTATAACAGAAACAGATTTGAAAATGAAGTATGGTCACACCCTGTTATGCTTGTTAGTTCTTAAAAAGCAACTGGTTTCAAGATAAACAGGATACCGTAATCTACCTTGTAAACTTGGAAAATTTGACTGATTTTAGAACTTTACAAAAACCTCACATTGTAGCTATAATAGGCATTTTTTATCAAGTAGGCCAAAAAGGTATATAGGGATAGGACACATGGACCAGAAAAAGGATGGGGAAGCTTATAAGGTACGGAACAGATATATGGTCAAACATGGTATTTATGATATCTTGGTTCATATTAACCATGTTAGTCCTTATTCATATTGAGCATAGCCCTTATAAACTTTAACACTAAATATTTGTAGCAGGGTATTTTGCAGGTTTTCGTTTTACACCTTCAGTGGGCTTACATTTGGACTATATAAGAATACTTCAGTTGCTAAATGTTACACCCATACACTGAAAACGTTTTAACCTTGTTGGACTTACTTTTTGTTGTTTCTGTAACGTTCTTGATTATAGTTTTATCATATTCATAGCTATACAAATGATCATCATTTAATTTTGTAATAGATTTATCTATTGAATTGTGGATACTTAGATATCTGTAGATCAACAACTTCGCCACTAAAAAATGAAGTTCGAGCTAGTAGATTTCCAAATTGCTAATTCCGTAAAATAAATTTTACAATCATTGTCAAAAAGTGTATTTTCCAAACCCACTATTAACTTCCCTATTTAAGTGTTAAAATCATTACTGTCGAGTGAAAGGTTTAATTTCTCCCTATAGCTGACAGAATGATAACTTAGTAAACAACACCTCTCATAGTTATCATGTAAAAAGGTAATTGAGCTCTATTCAAAAAATTAAAAGAAGAGGAAAGTAGAGATTAGGTTACAATTAAAAAGGAAAACTTACCAGGAATGTGACAGACTTGACGCTCACAATATTGTTCATGATGAGGTCATTCAGGCGTCCAGGTGTGGCCACGATAATCTCCACGCCTTTAGTGATAACATTGATCTGCTCCCGGCGGTTACCTCCTCCATACACGCACACACTACAAGTACACATGGAATACAATACCATGTTACACTACACACTCAATTTGTCTCATGTTTGATGCATAAGCTGATCATTGCATTGAACTAAAGAAATTGTAACGGAAAAAAGCATACAAGACAGCAATTTAGAAATTCCATATTGACAAATTGGTCCTTTATAACCTTCAGATTGTCAAAAAAGGTTTGTTTGAAAACTTCCTATTCAGAGCCGTACATGTGTTAGAGCAGTATAATTTACCTCTGACACCATAATGATGATGTGCTATCAATATTCAATAATATAAAGATGGGGATGATACCTGCCGCAAAAAAAACTTGCAGCCAAGACATAAGATTCAGTCAGTCACGGTGTAAGAGTAGTGACAAATCTCTATACAAGTATCTCGTTGACAAACCTCTTGATTCCTTTATAGTGGAACTTCTTCACCTCGGACTCAATCTGCAAGGCAAGCTCCCTAGTTGGAGACAGTACAAGAAGATTGGGTCCCCCCCTCTTTTCTCGGGGTCTGTAAACATGGACATAATATTTAAAATTTAAGAGCATGTACTATTACTTCTGTTTTCTTTCACAATCAATAATTGTTACCAATGACTGATAGAGATACAGAAACACATTACAAAGAGTTCTGATGTTTATCTTACCCAAAACTGCTGTTTCATCATACTTCGGGGACTTGTATTTTTTCCCCATTTGATTCAGTAAACAAACTGATAAGGACTTTTAGATATACGATTCACAACATTTTACTGGTATAGGCTTGAATTTTTGGAATTGTTTTTTAAACTATGGCTCAAAATATTTAGAGTCAGAAATGTAAGGATCTGTCAGGCAACCTGTTAACCCATAGTTTTCAGGCCTTGTCCCTGCTGACATGATGTGAGAGGAAATCTGGAGCCAGGAGATAGCTGTTACCAGTGTTGAAAAATAATTGTTACACCTGGATTGTGTCAGCCATGATTGAATGGTTCTCCTTGTGACAATTGTACCACACTCATTAGTAATGTTGAAATAGATTTAGATTATACTTTTAGTTAATTTTCCAGGATATGAAATTTCACAAATGGTATTTGGATCCTGGTTGTGATATTTCTGTGAAACACTAGAGGAGTAAACTAAAATTATGCATTGACAAGGTTACCACGAGCGGTATATAATACGCCCGTCACACATTGAATGAGCAGTTGTTTGTATGATTGAAATATATGAAGTATTTGTGAGTAATTGATATTAAAAGAGAAATCATTCAACATAACTGGTAGATCAATGAGTGCAATACAACATCATGGAACGCATGCATCGCATTAATGAAACCAAGGGTAATAACTCCAGTAATTA